TGAACTAGAAGTTAAAAGTACAATTATAGAAGTATAGTCTGTGATTGAAAAAAGCATGGAAAACACCAGAAAATTCCTTTATGCAGAGATAAAGAACAAAAATCTGATTAGGCCGAAATTAAAAATGCTATAACTGAGATGCAAACTCGAATGGAATCTATGACAGCAAGGATGGATGAAGCAGAACAGTGAATCAGTGAAATACAAGATAAAATTATGGAAAATAATGGAGAGAAAAAAGAGGGAAACAAAGGCAAAGGGTCGTGATACAAGACTTAGAGTACTCAGCAAATTATTACAGAGAAATAACATTCATATCATAGGAGGGCCAGAAGATGAAGAGAAAGAGAGAAAGGGACAGAAGGTTTATGTGAGAAAATTATGGGTGAAAACTTGCCTAATCTGGGGAAGGACAGATCAAAATCCGAGAGGAAAAGAGAACTCACATTAAATTTAACAAAGACTGACCATCATCAAGGATATCATGGTGAAATTCACAGAATACACAGACAAGGAAAGAATAAAGACAGGAACAAGGAAAAAATAAAGGTTCTTAACCTGCAAGGGAAGACACGAGAGTTTTGCAGCAGATCTGCCCACAGAAACTTGGCAGGCCAGAAAAGAGTGGCAAGAAATATTTGATGTGCTGAATCAGAAAAATATGCAGCCAAGAATCCTTTATCTGGTAATGCCGTCATTCAGAATAGAAGGAGAGATAAAGAGTTCCTCGGACAAACAAAAGCTAAAGGAGTTCAAAGAAATTAAACCAGCCCTATAAAAAATTGTAAGGGGGACTTTTTGAGTGGAGAAAAAAGAAAGAGACCAAAATCAATAAAGACTAGGGAACATCACCAAAAACACCAACTCTACAGGTAACACAATGGCATTAAATTCATATCATTCAATAATCACTCTAAATGTAAATGGCCTAATGCTCCAGTCAAAAGACATAGGGTATCAGAATGGAATGAAAAATGAGACCCATCTATATTCTGCCTACAGAGACTCATTTTAGACCTAAAGAAACCTGCAGATTGACAGTGAGGGGATGGAGAACCATCTATCATGCCAATGAATATAAAAAGAAAACAGGAATAACTATACTTATATCACACAAACTAGATTTTAAAACAGAGACTGTGACTAGAGATGAAGAGGGTGTTATATCACAATTAAGTCTATCCACCAAGAAGATCTAACAATTGTAGATATTTATGCCAACTTGTGAGTACCAAAATATATAAATCAATCACAACAATAAATACATTGATATAATACAATAATAGTAGAAGACTTTGACACCCCCCTAACAGATATATTCAGAACATCTCATCCTAAAGCAGCAGAATACATATTCTTCTCAAGTGCTCATGGAACATTCTCCAGAAAAGATCACATACTGGGCCACAATTCAGCCTTCAACAAGTAGAAAATGACTGATATCATACCATGCATATTTTCAGACCACAACACTATGAAACTTGAAATCAACCACAAGAAAAATTTTAGAAAGACCATAAATGCTCTGAGGTTAAAGAACATCCTATTAAATAATGAGTGAGTTAACCAAGATGAAAACAACAGTCCAAAACTTTGGGATGCAGAAAAGGCAGTCTTAAGAGGGAAGTGTTTAGCAATTAAGACCTTCCTAAAGAAGGAAGAAATGTCTCAAATACACAACCTAACCTTACACCTAAGAGAGCTGGAAAAAGAAGACAAATAAAGCCCAAAACCAGTGGAAGAAGGGAAATAATAAAGGTTAGAGCAGAAACCGATGACATTGAAATTAAAAAAAAGAAAAAACAGAATAGATCAACAAAACTAGGAGCTGGTTCTTTGAAAGAATTAACAAAATTGATAAACCTCCTATCCAGATTTATCAAAAAGGACAGGAACAAAATTAATAAAATCACAAATGAAAGAGATCACAACAAACACAAGAAAAATACAAAGAATAATGATAGAATATTATGAGCAATTATATGCAACAAATTGGGTAATCTGCAAGAAAATTATAAATTCCTAGGAACATATAATCCACCAAAACTGAAACAAGAGTAAATAGGAAATGTGAACAGACCCATAACCAGTAAAGAAATTGAATCAGTAATCAAAAATCTCCCAACACTAAAGAGTCCAGGGTCAGTTGGCTTCCCAGTGGAATTCTACCAAACATTTAAAAAAGAGTCAATATGCATTCTTTTGAAGTCTTTTGAAAAAGAGAGAAATGGAAGAAAAAAAATCCAAACTCATTGTATAAAGTCAGCATTACCTTAATTCCAAAACCAGACTAAGACCCCACTAAAAAGGATTACATACCAACTTGCCCTGATGAACATGGATCTGAATATTTTCAATAAGCTACTAGCAAATTGAGTCCAACAATACATTAAAAGAATTACCACAATATATTGGGATTTGTTTCTGAGATGCAAGTCTGGTTCAGTATCCACAAATCAATCAGCATGATACATCACATTAAAAAGAAAGGATAAGAACTATATAATCCTCTCAATAGATGCAGAAAAATCGTTTGACAAAATATATCATCCTTTCTAGATAAAAACCCTCAAGAAAAGTAGGAATAGAAAGAACATACTTCAACATCATAAAGGCCATATATAAAAGACCCACTGCTAATATCATCCTCAATGGGGAAAAACAGAGTTTTCTCCTGAGGTCAGGAACACAGCAGGGATGTCCACTCTCATTACTGTTATTCAACATAGTACTGAAACTTCTAGTCTCAGCAGATCAGACAACAAAAAGAAATAAGTGGCATCTAAATCAGCAAGGAAGTCAAACTTTCACTCTTCACAGACTACATGATACTCTATGTGAAAAACCAGAAAGACTTCACCAAAAGACTGCAAGACTAATAAATGAATTCGGCAAAGTTGCAGGATATAAAATCAACATATAGAAATTAGTTGCATTTTTATACACCAATAATGATGCAGCAGAAAGAGAAATCAAGGAATTAATCCCATTTACAATGGCACGAAACCCCATAAAATACCTAGGGATAAGCCTAACCAAAGAGGTAAAAGGTCCGTATACTGAAAACTATAGAAAGCTTATGAAAGAAATTGAAGAAGACACAAAGAAATAGAAAAACATTCCATGCTCATGGATTGTAAGAAGAAATATTGATAAAATGTTGATACTACCCAAAGGAAAGTACACATTCAATGCAATTCCTATCAAAATAATGACAGCGTTCTTTACAGAGCTAGAATAAACAATTCTAAAATTTGTATAGAACCAGAAAAAAAAAATAAACAAATATCCAGAGTAACACTGAAAAGGAAAACCAAAGCTAGAGGTATCACAATTCCACACTTCAAACTGTATTACAAAGCTGTAATCATCAAGACAGAATAGTACTGGCACAAAAACAGACACATCTGATCAATGGAACAGAATAGAGAAACGAGAAATGGACCCACGAACATATAGCCAACTAATCTCTGACAAAGCAGGAAAGAATATCCAATGGAAAAAAAGACAATTTCAGCAAATGATCTTGGGAAAGCTGAACAGCGACATGAAGAAGAATGAAACTGGACCACTATCTTACACCATATACAAAAATAAATTCAGAATGGATGAAAGATATAAATGTAAGACAGAAAACCATCAAAATCCTAGAGGAGAAAATAGGCAGCAATCTCTTTGATCTTGGCCACAGCAACTTCTTACTGGACATGTTTCCAGAGGCAACAGAAACAAAAGCAACATTGAACTATTAGGACCTCAAGACAAAACGCTTATGCACAGCAAAAGAAAAAAATCAACAAAACCAAAAGGCAATCAATGGAATGGGAGAAGATATTTGCAAATGACATTTTATATAAAAATTAGTATCCAAAATCTAGAAAGAACATAACCCCCCCCAAAAAAAACTTCACAAATAATCCAGTGAAGAAATGGGAAAAGACATGAACAGACACTTTTCCAAAGAAGACATCCAGATGGCTAACAGACACATGAAACGATGCTCAATATCACCAATCATCAGGGAAATGCAAATCAAAACCACAATGAAATACCACCTCACACCTGTCAGAATAGCTAAAATTACTAACACCTTAGGAAACAACAGCTGTTGGTGAGAATATGGAGAGAGGGGGACATCTTTGCACTGTTGGTGAGAATGCAAACTGGTGCAGCCACTCAGGAGAACAGTATAGAGGTTCCTCAAAAAGTTAAATATAGAGCTACCCTATGACCCAGTAATTGTACTACTAGGAATTTATCCAAAAAATATAAGAAAGCTGATTCAAAGGGCCATATGCACCCCAATGTTTACAGCAGAACTCTCTTTAAAAGCTAAATTATGGAAAGAGCCCAAATGTTCATTGACTGATAAATGGATAAAGAAAATGTGAGTGTGAGTGTGTGCACAATGGAATATTAGTGACTAAAATGAATGAAATCTTACAGTGTGCAACAATGGGGATGGAACTATAATGTATTATGCTACATGAAATAAATCAGAGAAAGGCAAATATTTATGATTTCTCTGACATGTAGAATTTAATAAGCAAGACAGATGAACATAGGGGAAGGGAAGAAAAAATAAGATAAAAATAGAGAAGCAAACCACAATGGACTCTTAAATACAGTGAATAAAATGCGGGTTGATAGAGGGATGATGAGTGGGGGGGGGATGGGCTAAATGTGTAATGGGCATTAAGGATTGTACTTGTTGGGATGAGCAGTGGGTGCTGTAATGTAACTGATGAATTACTAAATTCTACTCCTGAAACCAGTATTATACTATATGTGAACCAACTTGGATTTTAGTAAAATAAAAAAAATAAATAAAAAAATGCAATTTCAAAATTATATTTCATCAGAGAAGTAGCTTTCACTCAATCTTCAAAAAGCAAACAAAAGTTCTTCCAGTATGAAGGGTAAAGGCTGAAGATATAAAAATAGTTCCAAACATACACACAGGAAAAGGCAACTTTAAAAATAGAATGCACTCTTTCTGCCGCCATCTTGGTTTCGCGTTCCCCGCACACCCTTCGCAGAGTTTTTAAGAATATCTGACTCGGTTGGGCCGCGGAACGGATCCCAGTCAATTCAGGCCTCCTTTTTATTCCCTTCAGAAATGCCTGGTGAAGCCACAGAAACCGTCCCTGCTACAGAGCAGGAGTTGCCACAGCCACAGGCTGAGACAGGATCTGGGACAGAATCCGACAGTGATGAATCAGTACCAGAGCTTGAGGAACAGGATTCCACACAGACAACCACCCAACAAGCCCAGCTGGCAGCAGCAGCTGAAATTGACGAAGAACCAGTCAGTAAAGCAAAACAGAGTCGGAGTGAAAAGAAGGCACGGAAGGCTATGTCCAAACTAGGTCTTCGACAGGTTACAGGGGTTACAAGAGTCACTATCCGGAAATCTAAGAATATCCTCTTTGTCATCACAAAACCAGATGTCTACAAGAGCCCAGCTTCAGATACCTACATAGTTTTTGGGGAAGCCAAGATTGAAGATTTATCTCAGCAGACCCAACTAGCAGCTGCTGAGAAATTCAAAGTTCAAGGTGAAGCTGTCTCAAATATTCAAGAAAACACACAGACTCCAACTGTACAAGAAGAGAGTGAAGAAGAAGAGGTTAATGAAACAGGTGTAGAAGTTAAGGACATAGAACTGGTCATGTCACAAGCAAATGTGTCAAGAGCAAAGGCAGTCCGAGCCCTGAAGAACAACAGTAATGATATTGTAAATGCTATTATGGAATTAACAATGTAACCGTCTGAAAACGAGGACCCTTTTTTGGTGTTTCAAAAGAATAACTGCAGCTTGGTTTGAAATTTGTACTGTTTCTATCATTAATAAAGTTATGGCCTCTTGTTGGATGAAAAAAAAAATAAAATAAAATAAAAATAGAATGCAATTGTATTTTCACTATTCTTTACAATTATTCCTTCTGTTCACCTTCTCTCAACTTTATAGTCAGCAGTATGCTGGAAATATGAACTTTGAGAATCTTAATCTTAAAACCAGATTACCTACAGCCCTGAAAATAAATCAGTGGTAGAAATCGGTCTATGCCACTTACTGCTTTTTATAGGAACAGTAAAAAACGTTCCTCATCAGATTCAAGGAAAACAGTCTTTAACACTCATGTTTAGAAGGTGACAAAATATTTTAGGAGCTGAGTCTTACATATAATATTTTTTTATCAACAGAAACCTCATGACTAGCTACTACTGTTTTCCTAACATTAGTGTGATCCAAGAAAGGCGGGGGTGGGGGGTGGGGGTGGGTGGGAAGAAACAGTTTAATTACAATTGCCTTTGGGCAAACACTATAGCTAATAGACTCAAGAACTATACATGTCACCCACCTCTAGAAATGACATCATTAGCTCCTAATTTTCCTCTTTCCTTTTGGAAATAATTCTAATCATTTTACATGAAGACTTTGTAAACAGACTACCAAATAAATTAAGATCAAGATTGCTAAACACCTAGTGATTACCTTTTGTGATATCCATTACAAGACTTAGCCAACTTCAAGTTACAGGAACACTCCCCACAAGAGACTACTGTCCCCACAAGACCACCCAAACATTGGACACCTACTAAAAGTTAAAAGATTTCTCAAAATCATCCTCAGCTCTGATAATTTTCTAGAAGGATATAGAGAACATACAGAAAACTATTATATTCAGGGTTATGCTTTATTATATTATTCTGTAATGGATACACAATAAAATGAGATAAGAGAAGACATGCACAGAGTGGACTCTAGGGAAGTACCAGATAGGGAGCTTTCCCAGTCTTCTCCCTGTGGAGTCAGAACAACTTTCTTTCCTGGCATCAATATGTGACAATACCTATGGAGTATTGCCAATTGAAGAAGTTCACGTAAGCCCTGTTCAGAACTTTTATAGGGACAATGTTACATAAGGATGATTGGTTAATCGACTGTCCATATGTTTGCTCTTTATCTTCAGGTGAACTGATACCACATGACTCAAAACCCCCGTGCTAAATTGTATCACTTGCCTTTTTTTTAATGGCCAGGCCCTGCCTTAGATCATACTGTTACCTCCCAGAAGACATTACCTCCAGAAACCTAGGGAGAGGAATAGACTTCTTTGAGGGTGAGTTTAAATTGTTTATTACATACCTACCCGGATTAGTTTGCTAATGCTGCCATAAAAAACAATACCACAGACTGGATGGCATAAACAATAGGAACTTATTTCCTTACAGTTTTTCTGCAGGCTTGAAGTACAAGATCACAGTTCTATCAAGGTGATTTCCTCTAACAATCCTGTAGTTCACTAGTCTCTTGCTGCCTCTTCACATGGTGTTACCTCATCACTGGTATCTCTTCATCTGTTCTCTCTTTTAAGTAAGGACACCAGTCAGATTGGATCAAGGCTCTCCCTAGCAGTTACATGTTAGCTTAATCACATCCAAAGTTTCTACGGTCACATTCTGAGGTCCTGGGAGCTAGGGCATGAATGATTGAATTTTGGAGAGCTGCAATTCAGTCCATAAAATCACCTAAACTCTGAGGCAAGGTCAATGGCTTCTAGCTAGTCTTCACTTGCCACTAAGAATAAGCCATGTGTTAAATGACTGAATCAGCAAATGAGTATTAATTTGCTGAAAAAAATCACTCTATTTTTCTGGAATGCATATTTTACTCAGGTGGGTCGCAAAATGTTTGTGTGTTTACTTCAGTGGCTTAGTTTCAGTGTTTTGTCCCCATTACAAAAAGAATAGTATACTAAAACAACTTCTGGAAGGAAATGATAACCTTGAGCCATTTTTTTTCTTGTATTCATGAATTTAGCACGTAGATATCTGACTTGGGCTGAAAGAAAATGTTGTTGTGATTATAAGAGAAAATGTCAAAGTGAGACCTAACATGCCATATACAGCAGTCCTCCCTTAATCCATGGTTTCACTTCCCATGATTTCAGTTATCTTCAGTCACCTGCAGTCAGGAAGTAGATGATCTACCTTCTGACATCATCAGAAGGTCAAGGTAATCTAAACATATGTCACAATGCCTATGTCATTCACCTCACTTCATCTCCTCATGTAGACATTCATCTCATCATGTAGGCATCATCCCAAGGGTGAGTAGTATATTTTGAGAGGACTCTTACATAGGACTTTCATTATAGTATATAGTTATATTTTTCTATTTATTATTATTGTTGTTAATCTCTCACTGTGCCTAATTTGTAAACAAAACTTTTATCGTAGATATGTGTGCATGGGAAAAAACAGTGTGGATATGTTTCAGTGGTTTCAGGCATCCACTGGAGGTCTTGGAATATATCCTCTGCAGATAAGGGGGCACTACTATATTCTGCTCCCTGAAATGCAAAGTCTAGTAAAACAGGTTTTTCAGAATATTGATTTTGTTAATCTGCAACTTTTGTGGTTCTGCAAATACACTATGGCATTAGAAAAGCCCTCCTTGTGCCCTTAAGTGTTTTATGATCTCTAATATTCAATTTGTAATTCAGGTAGCTTTCTATGTGCCAAAGCATGGTTTCAAGAATGTTTATGTAACACTTCTGAAAGAAAGTATGGAATTGTTATCAGCCCCCACTTTTTAAGAAACATATTTTACTTTTCAGTACGGTTTTCAATTTGCAGAAAAGTAAGAGAGATTTTAGAGAGCGTTCCCATATACTCATACCCAGTTTCCCCTATTGTTAATCTATTGTTAACATCTTACATTAGTGTGGTACATTTGTTATAATTAATGAATGGATATTGATGCATTATGATTAAGTAAAGCCCATAATTTATTCAGATTTTTTATATTTTTACATAAAGTCTTTTTCTGTTCCACGATCCCATCCAATACACCACATTACATAGAGTTATTGTTTTCTTAAGCTCCTCCTAACTGTTAGTATTTAGACATTCTTTGCTTTTGATGACCTTTACAGTTTTGAGGAGTACTAGACAGGTGTTTTTCAGGATGCACCTCTATTGGAATTTGTCTCATATATTTCTCATGATAGGAATGGTTGTATGGATTTGGAGGAGGCACATCACAGAAGCAAACTACCATTTTTTATCATATCATTTCAAGGATACATACTATCAAGATCATTCATGACTGCTGGTGTTGATTTCAATCACCTGACTGAGATAGAGACTGTCACGTTTTGCCATCATAAAGTTACTCTATATTTTTTCCTTTTCCATTTCCTTCCTTTGGAAAGAAGTCATTATTTGCAGCCGAGTTAAGAAATGAAAATTTATGCTCTTCCTACTAGATCACAGAATATCTACATAAATTCTTTCAAATTCTCCCAAATAGACCATTTGTTTCTTCTCCCCTATTTATTCACTTATTTAATTATTTATTTATATTAGCATGATCATGAATATTTAATTTTGCAGGCTACATATTAATTCTACACTATTTTGTTCATATTATTTTAGCTTTGTCATAGACCGCTCCTTAATTTGACTTTGGTACTCCTTCAAATGACTATTTTTTAAACAAACATGAAATGACGCAGTGAAGCCCCTTATATAATAACCCCGCAAATACTAGGTATTGTTTTCAAAAAGCAATATATATGTTCCCTGTATTTTCCCCCCACTCTGGGTGTGTGTGTGTGTGTGTACATTCTGTTTTCTCTTACTATTTTATAACCATTATTACTTCCTCTATTGTTAGGCTCATGACCAAATAATAACCCTCCAAGAGCAAATGTTCTTAAGTATAATGTAAAATACTATGTCTCCCACTGATCTCAGCAGGCCTCTCCAACTCTGCTTAAAGTTCAGCTTAGTAGGTTATTGTGACATAATTAAGTTTTATAATTCAATGCCAAGGACAAACTGAAAAACACTAGAAAGAAAAGATGTCTTCTATATGCTCTTCTGTAAGGACAAATAATCACATCAACTTTTATTTAGCTTTGTACAACGATCTGAGTAGAACCTCTTAGATTTTGCTGGAACTCATAAATGTTTTGGCACAAGAGTTCTGTAACCTTGGGTCAGGTACAATGGTGTTAGCATGTGTTTTGTGAAGTTGGCAGATAGTCCAGTAGGGGAAAAATGTCAACACAAAATGTAATGTTGGCATCTCAGACTCATGTTTCTCTTGAGTCCTAAAAATGAACATAGTTCCTGGAGACAAAATATTTAAATAATATGTGTAGTTTTACATGGGAATTTGGAATAAATACACTGATATATTCTGCACTGTTAAAGAACTACCTTTATAACACCAACATTATTTTTTTAAATGTTTTATTTATTTCTAGGAGAGAGAGAGAGAGAGAGACAGCATGTGCAGGGGAGGGTCAGAGAGAGAGGGAGTCACAGACTGAAACAGGATCCAGGCTCTGAGCTGGCAGTCAGCACAGAGCCCGACGCAGGGCTCGAACCCAAGAACCGTGAGATCATGACCTAAGCGAAAGTCAGATGCTTAACCGACTAAGCCACCCAGGTGCCCCTATAACACCAACATTATTATAAGTATTAGGCAGTTGATATTACACATTGCCTAGCCTTTTAAAAACCAATAAACACTTTCCGATAATGGGGTTGTTAAAATAAAAAGAATGAAACTTAAAAGTGACATATTTTTATTCTCTGAAACAGAAGAGATAAATCAGTGACTTCTCCACTCTATGTTTTAGGCAAGCCCCTTAATCTGGAAAAAATCCAATTTTTTCCCCTAATTTTTCTAACTAGTTAAGAGTTCAATGTTTTATTAATCAGTAGTGGCACATTCAATTACTTTATGTATCCAGCAAGATTAATTGCAAATATCTTAAATACATTCATTTGGTTGAGTGATAGTATAAAATGTGCTATTTTAGCAGGACCTAATGCTTATTAATATTTTAATT